ATATAGCATCGATGTAGGGATTGAGGCTTAGGAAATCTGCTGTAAAAAAGGGCTTCCTACATTTAAGGACCACCCTAATGTACATATATGTAAATATGCACATGTGCTTGTATCTACATACGTCAAAATTTACGGTTCCTTGTGTGTATAGTAAATTAAATTATGCAATTTCATGAACATTTTGCATGCCCGATCGGTGACACAATGAATTCTTTCGAAATTTTTGGCATTTTGTATCGAGTAGCGACAACCGATTAATAGAAATTTTATGCAGCAAGTGCTTTGAAGTCAAATTTGTTGACCTTTGTTTAATATAAGTCCACACGAATGGCAACACAAATTTTATGTACGCCAGAGACGGGTGAATGAAACTTAATGCCTTTTTCGAAAACATTTTAAGTACGGTAAACAGTGTGACGGTAATTTTAGTTGCTCACTCAAACTTCGAACGCAAATTTTTATAAAAGCTACTGAACTCTAAAAGGAGTTTGCTCCGCCGCTTTCCATATTTTTACCGAAAGTTCATTTTTCTACAATTTCGGCCGAAACCTCGAATACTTTCATGAAATAATTTGTATAAATCTCTTTTAAATATAATTTTGTCTTTAGAGACCTATGTGCGTAAATAAAAAATTAATCTGGAAAGTTTGAATCATGATACAATAATTTTTAGATGGTAGTTTCACTTGAAAATTTTTGACATAAACCGTGTCTGTGACAAACACGCAATGTGGCCACTGCTACGATATAGAGCTTGGGGATTATCGCTTGTTATTTTAGATATTTTATAACAGAACATGTAAAGATTTATATGTTTCATAACTGATCACTTAATTTTTAATATAAATATACGTATTTTATACATACATTTTTGCCACTGCTAATCACATGAATAAAAATCATAAAAATGAAAATATAACAGCAATATTTCTTGTTTATAATGGATTAGATCCATCGCACACCACGGACTTTATCGGCCGCCAATTTAGATGTACTCGCTAGTCTTTCCATTGCACCCAGTGTTGCCGCCGCTCAAAGAACTTTCTAACCAAGCTTAGACGAAAAAGTTACCAAATGTAAGGAAAAATAAAAAAAAGGAAAAAATTGCCGCTGTGGTGTAGTGGTAAGCAGCGGCTTCCACTCCGCAGCACCTGGGTTCAAGCCCTGGTAAAAGCAACATCGCAAAAAAAATCTAGAAAAAATTTTTTTTCTTAACAGCGGTCGTCCCTCGGCAGATAATGGCAAACCTCCGAGTGCATTTCTGCCATGAAAAATAGCTGCTCATAAAAATACAATCGCCGTTCGGAGTCGGCGTAAAACTGTAGGTTCCTCCGCTTTGTGTGACAACATCAAGGCGCACGCCACAAGTTGGAGGAGAAACTCGGCCAAACACTAACATATGTATGTATGTGCCAATCTGTTATTATTATTAATTAAAAATTGGACTGTATTCAACTATATCGTCGCTCAGCGCGAAGTACCTCGTATACGCCAAACGCAGTAAATAAATTTTACAAAAGCGCGAAAATCGATTTTTTCAGAACTGTGGAATGGTATTTCCCTTGAACCTACTTGCTATAAGATTATTATTATAAATCTTAACATAAATTAATAAAGTAAGCAGTAATGGAAAAATAATTACCAAATCCCTTTTTTATTGTACATACATTACGTGGTATACGAGGTATTTATATATGTACTATCTGAGTATGTATTCATTTGAAGTAGTCTTTAGCCGACCATGTATATTATGTATTTTGTATATTATAAAACAAATACATACATATGTAAGTAATATTAATACAATGACTCCAAATATTCTCACTTGGTTTCACTGCTGGGGCTGCCACTGCTGCTGCTACTCTTCTCAACCTGGACAGGTCTAGCTGGCCTATGTCTTATAACGAACCTAATTTAAAAGTTTTTTGGAAATACATATTATACAAAATAAAACCAAAATTGTGTATTTTTTTCTCACTTATCCATAGAACTGAGCCCGTACAAATTAACTTGAAACACCAATTTTGCGCGGAATTATAATAATTTTAGCGACTTCTTAATGACTCTCGTATTATTCAAATGTCATTTCAGGTACATACTATGTAGGTTTGTGCAAAGAATATAGAAATGGTGTAACTGCGGGGCCGTTTCAAAAACTTGGCGATTAAGTCAACGCGATTTATCAAAGACATGAACCGATAATAGTTGCACTCTCGAACTTTTACATGTTCTTTTCCATATGTAAACACATGATTATTATCGGAATAAGTAAAATCTTGAGTTGCCATTTTAGTAGTAATAACTTTAGTTAAATAACCATATTGAGCACAATAAATGTATTTGTTTATACTATTTTTCAAAGATTTAATTATTGTATGTATACAAAAATTAGAAACTACAGTAAATGTTAAAAATAACCAAAATGAGAAAGATCTTAACAACTTCACAGGCAAGAAAAAAATAACCAAAATTGGTTAAAAGTAACCAAAACGGCAACACTGATTGCACCACAACTTATTGGTCAGAGCGATTAAGCTGGTGTAATGTGCGCACCTCCATACATCTTCATGTACATATTTCAAGCGAGCCCTATCATTTAAATAGGCGGCCGATAAAGTCTGTGGTGTGCGGTGGCTCTTATAGCTGTGTCCTTACATCTATTCCGTGTGTTGCAATATCCACGAAAGCAGCAGTTAATTTTTTATGAAGAAAATTATTACAAAATATTCGAAAATTTCTCTACTTATATGTTTGGCTTTTCTTTGTTTTATTTTTCCAACGTCAGAAGCTGGATTTTTTTTTTTGAAAATGTTGGTACAACAAAAAATACGAAACACGTTTTCTGTCAGATAGCTAACATGGCGGATAAGAAGAAGAAGTGAAACTACCTTCTAAAAATTATTGTATCACGGTTTGAATTTAAATATTTTTATCCCTAAACTTCTAAAACTTGTTTAGGAGAAAATTTATGGAAAAACAAATATAAATAGAAGTTATATTATGTCCACACGGCAATGAAAACAAGTTGTTTATGACTCATTCGTGATATTACTTGAAAACATGTTAAAAGTACGTGTTTTCGCACTGCAAAAACTGTCAAACTTTATTATGAACCAATCATAATAACCTCGAAAACAGTTAAAATTTCGCTGTGTTTTCATAAGCATCTCTGTGTTCGATAACTTTTTGTCAAAACAAAATCGATGGTTTGCCGTCACTAGTTGAAAAAAAGAATAAGAACAATAATAAGAAAAAATCTGGATGGAGAAGAAAAAAAGAAATATTTATAAAAAGCGAACTGCTTGGTGCGCACAAAGCGAAGCTTTTCTTTTGGAGCTCTGGGAGGCAAAGTCGGTGCAGCTGCGCAGTGTTCGGAAAAATTCCCATATATTGGAGGAGATGGCCGGTGAGTTAAGGAGTGCAGGTTATGCTATTTCATCAAAGGAAATTAAAACAAAAATGCATAACCTGACCACGAAATACAGGTAATTTTGGTTTACAAAGATAAAAAGTAGTATACTAAACTTTATCCTATACTTTAATAGAAATGAGAAAGCGAAAATAGGCCCATCAGGTGGCTCACCATCCGATTGGCCTCTGTATACCCATATGAATGCTATTTTTGGCAGTTATAAAAGTTACAATGTTGAGAAAATGGTGGAAGACAGCATTATAGGTGGGCATATTGAATTTATTAACCTAAATGATATTTGTACATTTGGCGGTTGTATAATACATATGTATATATATACATACATATTTACAGATTGTGACGGCATCCAAAGTTCCTCTATCTCACAATTTATTGAGTCGGAAACAGATTTTGATGATGAAATTTCGTTTCTGTCGGATATGTCCAATGCTGTCGAATCTCAGGAACTCATGGTAGCGTCTTCAATAATGCCGTCTGCAGCTGAATCCGGTTGCATTACCGATTCCGTGCCAATTGAAATATCACCACCGCCAACCCCGTCAACATCACGAGCAGCTAAAAAGAAGTTGAACGTACAAAAGCAAATATTAGTGCATATGGATAATATGGAAAAAGAGTTCAATGAAACAAAAGTGGAATTAGTAAATACAAACAAAATGATGATAGAAAAAAGTGGTAAAATGATTGAACTTGAGGCTGAAAAAAATGAAATGCTCAAATCATATGTAAACGATATGTCGCAAATAAAAGACGCGTTGCTTTACTTTTTAAACAACCAGAAATAAAATTCCTAAGAGAATTCGAAAATTAAATTTGTCGTATAAAAATTGATTGAAATCGTTTAAGTTAATAAAATTTTATAAATTACTTACAAAAGTGTAAAGAAAGTGCTTGGCGTATTTCTTCTGCCTTACTGTTATAGTCGAAACTTACTGCAGTTTCAGGACATTGGCGTCTTTTTTCTAGTTCTTGTGCAGCAGTTATCCATTTGTCGTTAACTTGGTCGTTATTTTAATTTAAAAAGTTATGAAGCGCACAGCTTGCTTTAATAATTAAATTAGCATTACCCATTTGGTTGTCGATACCTTTGCCAATGCGGCGGAAACGAGCTTTTAGCTGACCGAACGCATTCTCGACCACCCTCCGTGATTTCGATAAAACATAATTGAAATGTTTTTGTTCGGAGGTTTGTGAAAGGTGAAATGGGTATGGTTTCATAAGGGAATCCGAAAACCTAAAAGCAGAGTCACCTATAATAACAATAGGAATGTTGACGTTCGAGATTTTTTTTTGTCATATCATTGAGTAGGCGGCATTCCTGCAGTTGTTGCTTGAGGGTTGATTTTTCATAAATTTGGGAGTCGTTGCAACGACCTGGAGCTCCAACATTTATGTAAATGAAACGACACCTGCAATATCAATTCGTGTAAGATTAGTAGATATGATACTTTTCACCTTCTATGATATTAAAACTTACCTGGCGTCTACCAATGCTAATAATACGGTTGAGTACCACCCTTTATAGTTATGATAATCGATCGCATCTTCAGTAGAAGGGTGTATTTCAATATGGCAACCATCTAATTGGTATGTTTTTATTTGCATTGCCTCAAGGGTTCCACTAGGTTCAATAACTTACCAATCGCGCCCAGGCATTGTGGAAAGCCAAGAATTTCGAAACCTTTTACATACTCATTTATCTTTTCGGAGCTTAATGGGAAGTTTTTTAAATAAAGAGGCCAAAAAAACCTCCAAATTTCTTTGCAGAACTCAACTAATACTAACCCAACAGTGGATTTACCGACACCGAATAAATTCGCAATGCTTCGGTATTCTGCAGAAGATCCTAGGGCATACAATGCGATCGCCACTCTTTTTTCCAGTGGAATAGCCTTGCGCATATTTGTGTCTCTTCTTTGTAAACTTTTAACCATTTTACATACTATGTTGAAGGATTTCCTGTCCATTCGAAAATTTGCTTTAAAAAACGCATTTCCGTTACGTTGGCAATCCCATTCCCAGAAAGACTGAGTACGATTCTATAAAGAAAAAGCTATTCATTAATTTAAATTTTGAAGAGTATTATCCACTTACTTTAGTCCAACAAGATCTGAGTTCCAACCGCACTGAGATTGCTGCTTCCATCAGCATTGACTGCCGTTTTTTCAAATATGAAATTTTTAGCATTAAATACAGCATTTGTTTTTGAAAATACAAAATTTGCTTATTCGCGTTGCCCAAAACTGCATTTATGAATATAATCGCATCCAGGAGTTTTATTAAAAGAAAAATAAGTTTAATAAGTTGCATTTTGGTTGCTTTATTTCACTTGGAGCAATAGAGAAATGTCAACGAAAACGCGTTAGTAAAAACGACGAATGCCGTTTGGACGGTTATGTTTAATATTGAAAACATCTCCTGAAAACAACTTGTTTTCATTGCCGTGTGGACATAATATTAGAGACGTAACCATAGAGAGAAAGAAGCGTAAATCAAATTTCTATAATGAAATTGTAAAAGCACTAATGAAAACGCCCAAAAAAGGGAATATAATTTCTAATAGGTTAAGTTAGGAGGTTAGGTTTGCTTGGCTGGTTGATTAGATCTTACATAGACCAAGAGAAGAACTTAATCGTTATGCATTTTTAGCGAGTTTTAGCAAGTGTTTTGGTTTACAATTTACTTCAGTGAGAAGCAGAATACAACGCCGAGGTAGTTGGGTCCCGATCCCCAAGAACTCGAGAGTGCCACATGCCATGTATTCTGCACTCTGCATCAGTCCTAACCTAAATGCTTAAGATGGTGTCAGAGTGTGCCCTATATCCTTAGATAAAAACTACAATTATGAGTTCTTAATTTGAATTCTTAAGTTGAATTATCATCTGCAGAGTAATATTGGTTTGGAGATATTTTATTCAGTACACCTCTTTATTTAATAAATGAGCGTAAGATTCTCTATAACACTTTCAGTATTAACTGGATAGAATTTATAATCTAGCAGGTTTTGGTTTGAATGCAGTCCTTGCTACTCTCCGCACTTCGGGATGTAATTGGACCTCTAACAGTACATTGCAAATATGTCGGCAAAAGCCTAATAGTCTTACTTGATCACCAAAAATGTACATCCAATTTTTTTTTTGATATACCGAAGAGTAGAAGATGCCCATATAAGGTGCAACTGAAGTTTGTTAGATGTATTGCTTTTGCATAGCATTGAAGAAATGAAAAAATGGACACACACACAAAATGCCACGCCTTCTACACTAGGCGGCGGAAATGATAAATATTGTCCGATTTTATTATAATTCATATTGTATCACAATTTGAAACCGAAAGACTTTAATCTGAAGGATTGATTAACACGCCCAGTAGTCATAAGAAATCCATTTATAAGAGCCAAATTTTATTAAAATTGGATAACATCTAACAAATCTGCTCCCTAGTTCCGTAGGCGCGGAAGGTTGCCAGCCTATTCCATATTTTTATGTTTCTTTATTGCTAAACAAAAGTATTTCATAGCAAATGGCAATAAAATCTGAAGTCAATTACTACTTTTTTTGCCACAGTACGCAAGCGGACGCAGCTGAAATTGGTTTTATTTTTAATTTAAACTGCATTGTCAATTTTATTCTATCACGTAACTTAGTCTTAAAACATATACGTCCATTGTACCGTTTTTTATGTCCCTTTTAATCTGTTTTAAATCTGCACGATTTACGAATAAATGTCTTCATAACTAATTTTTGCAAAGGCGGGACAGAAATACAAAAAGTGTTCCACCATTTTATCCTCTTCGAGGCAGGGTGGTCAAATGGAGTTCTCATGTACGTCTATAACAGCCAGGAGTTTGTACCACATGATGTGACCGGTCAGCAGTCCAACAAATTTTCTGCAGTCCTATCTGCTCAGTGGGAGAAAAAAATAGACGGACCTTCTGAGATTGAAGAAAACATGAGTTTTGCTCACCTGCAGCCCCTGGACGCCTCCAAGTCGTTGAGCGAAATGTTGAACCAGTTTCTGATGGTGGCTTCGATGGCCGAAGGTGGGAGTGCTATAACTGATTGCGGACTTTGAAAAGTTGGCAAAACATATTTTTATTGTGAATCGTGTTTTCGGTGATTCATTACGGCTCATTTCTTTATGTTTATTTTATGAAAAACGTGAAATTTATTCAACAAACTCTGTAATGAAAATTCAAATAAAGATAAGTACTCCTTTTTTAAACAATAATTACCCATAATTGTTAAAAGTTCTATTACTTATATCACTCCTAAGTCAAGTCTATTTTGCTCTTAACTTCTTTCCGTTTTATTTTTTTGCATATACTTTTCAAAACCTTCCCATTCACCGACAAATATATATATTTTTTTTTAAATGAAAACCCATTTCCTTTAGATTAGAATAATATATATTTCATATTACTTTTATTTAGTTAATTTAGTTGGAAACCCCGTATTTATGGTACGATTTGATTCATATTGATAACGTGAATTACACAGATGGAAAGAAATAACTCCACAAAAAAATTTAACTTTTTGGTTATTTAACAAATGATAAAAGCTTCTTAAAAATTAACTTTTTTTTTGCTATTAACTAACAGGTAACTTATATGTACATCTGTCCCTTTTCAAGAAATGAAATGTTGGAGTTCTGGTGTCTCCCCAGTGGTACAGAAGTGAAATCTAACGTTTTCGTCTGAGTTTTTATATTGAAAATTTGGGTTTGATTTTCTTTTTTAATTTTATATATTTTTTTCTATAAGGCCATGAATTTCTCAAAAAGATAGTATTTTGATTGAAATTTATTGAATCATCCTAGATTTTGTTCAAAGTTTGAAATATTAATTGATTTTGTTTTGGTGATAGATAGGATGAACAATACTGGAAAATTAGCAAAAAGATTTAAACTTCAAAAACTTTGAGAATATGTTAAGTTATTATCTTGTTTTCTTCAACTAATTATCCTGTTTTTAGTCAAAATAAAGCTCAAATTCAATCACACCATAGCCACGACCTTGTAATAAAAATATATTTTTTTTTATAAAAGTAAAAATTTATGCTCATATATTTTTCTAATTACAAACCTGAGAAATTAAGCGTTATTACATAGTGAAATATCGTAGAATTTGTATCTTTAGAAATTACCCGTACATGGGACGTCGCGTGGTTATTGTTTGGACGAAATCGGTTAGGCGGGTACGAATACATATATTTCCTCAAAAGTGGACTTGGCCACGACATTTTAAAAAAAGTTTATTACAAAATAAATTTTTTTGAAAAGTTAAAGTTAAGTTAATAATTTTTTCTTTGAATAAATTTTCGAGATGTATTCAATTTACCGTTATTCAGCTTAAAAAAAAGTGGCTCCACGTAATCTCATATATGTATGTATGTAACTTAGAACCAATTGAACAATCTTAAAACAAAATGTGGCGTACATGGCGTATGAGTAACATTTTTTCCTGCTCATATTTCAAACAAAAAAGTCATCGCAGCATATTCATGTGAATACTCATTCCCTTTTTATTTATCCATCGCCTTTCTCCATTACTCCCAGAACCGACTTTAACGCAAATGAAAAAAAAAAAATCTCACTGAATCTATAATCTTTTTAATTTCTTCCCTGTTAAAGTTTGAATTTTATTGAATTGAAAATTGAATTATACTAAACAAATCGGAAGGTACAAACCTACGTATGATTCAGTTTGTTACAACAAAAGCATACAATACACATACGTTTTTGTGGTTTATTACAATCCTCTTTTTAAATCAATTATTCCAGTCACATCCACACCAACTGATTTTCACTACGAAATTACTTGTTATTATAACACTTGTAAATGCACATTACATAGCAAAAGTGTTATAAAGTCAAATGTACATATATGTACAAAAGTAAATTGTAATGTCATTTCCGGCATTTGCTGAAATTCAATTCTGCATTCGATTCGATATTGACCTTCGATTAAACAAAAATTTAATCTGTAATGTGCAAACGATTTTTACTCATTGATTTCCAAATGACTTTTTAATGCTTGTAAATCAACTGGTTTTTGTGTTAGCTGCAGAATTACAAATGTACATACGTGCATCTGGAAGTACATATGTATGTGCACATGCAGGTTCATCCATACATTAGAAGCTGATCCATCATCAGCAAGCGAACAGTCAGTGACAACCAGCATCCAGCATCCAGCATCCAGCGAGTATCTCCGGCAGCTCTACCTTGTAAACCTTTAACATTTGGGTAGACGTCATTGTCACTGTCAGTCAATTGTGCACTTGCAGCTGTCATTTAGACGATACCAACTTGCAGGGAAACACCACCCCACCATATCTATTGCCACAATGCTCTATGCCACACGTGCATGAATGTGTTGCACATGCCATTTAGGTATGTAGGTATGTGTACATCCGCCAAGTGTGCAGGTGTGTGTGAGTGCCACCCATTGACTCACTTATAACAAAGTGGAGTAGTATATTTCAATGGAATTTGAGGAGCGTACGAGTGATTGCGAGAGTATGTATATGTACATACATGCATACATGTGTGTTTACTCGTATGTTGCACATAACCAATAGAAAGGGACACACAGACAAAGTTTAGCGAAATTAGAGTCTGCCTACAATGCCACCGTAAAGACACATGCACACTTGCACATTTTTGCATTTGTGTTAGTCACAAAAAGTTATTTGAGCTGGTCGATATACCTTCATATGCATACAGCTATGTAGTATGTATGTATGTATGTATGTATGTATGTCATGAGAATACACAATTGAATCGTAATCAAATCAAACGCTGACACTAGTCAAGTTGATTGCAACCGAAACGTAAGCGGGCACACAGGCAACAGTTTAGAAACTTCAGTTATTGACACGTACGTAGATAGATGCTTGTATATGCAGCCTGCAGCATAACAAACTGG